GTGGTGGGTTTGTTGATCCGCTCCCCGAATTTGCCCCAGAAACTGTTCAGCATGAGCTTGGCCGTGGCCTTGCGACCGGGATTTTTGGCAATACTGGCAATGTCCAGTCGGATCCCCTCCCGTTCCTGGTAACGAATAATGTAGTCTCGTTTCTGCTCAAGGGTCTGACACCAACTGGGCCACCCCGCTGATTCCTGTTTCAACTTGAGCCAGGTGTTCACGTAATTGGCAAAAAGACCCGTTTGGCGTTGCTCAGGGGGAAAATGCCAGACTTCATGGATCTTGATCAGCGTGTACCCCTTTTCGACGGCTTTGACCAACTCGGGCGTGCACCAGGTTCCACGTAGCGTGCGTTCCGTGTCAGAATGAGGGCAATAGCGGGTTCGGGTCAACATGGGTTGGGCCTGCTCTGTCTGGACACAGGCGCGGCAGAGAGGAAAGGTGAGCTTGTTTCCGCTACGCACAGGCAAGACGGGGTGGAACAATCCAGCGGGGGGAAGAATGTCGACGGTGGCTAGACCAAAATAGGACTCCAAGGACTGGTCGGCGGGCTGAGTGATGATGTTCGGATGCCCAATGGGGTAGGGACAGTTTTTGTTGACCCATGGGTACAGGGAGGTCACATCCACATAGCGTATTTCCTCGCCCTCTCCAGCCACGGCATGCAGAGCCACTGCACCCGTTCGACCCCCAAAGAAGGCTTCCCGGAGTTCCAAGGGTGCAACCAGATCGAAGGAATTCAGGAAACGTTGAACGGCTTCATCCGTGTCCAACAATTTGTCCCATTCACATTCCCACATTTCGATCACCGTGTAGCCTGCTCGGAGCAGTGCCGTGCGTTTGGAGAGCGTGGCTTGATAGAGTTCCTCGACGCTTCTGTCCGGCACAGCATAATGTTTGACGCTTCTCATGGGATAACAGCGGGGACAGCCATGGTAGAGACATCCATGAAACTCGTAGACGGTGCGAGTCAGGGGATCGTAGCCATCGACAAAATGACTGTGGGCGCTGGTTCGGATAGACTGTTTGCCCCCATTACGAACGTGACGAATGCGGTCAGCACTGGCCCCCTCTTTGGGAATGAGGTGTTCTTGGTAGTAGAGCCATTGTAGGGCTTTGAGGGATTGATTGACTTGGGCCCCTCGCCACCCTCCGAGAGGTTCCACAGCAATGGTGTCGGGGGTCAAATGATGCTTGCGCCAATACAGATTGCAAGCACTGGCGATGGTGATGCACTTGGCCATAGGATTGAAGCCAGCCTGCCGTTCAAATTCTTGCTGAAAGGCTTCACACCCGGCTTTCAACAGGGCGACATCTGATTTGCAATAGTCAATCATTTCTTGCTTGAAATGGAAGGGCACGTTCCGGCGGACTTGATCTGCATGCCAACGAGTCAGTTCGTCTTTCTTTTTGACCATCATGCCATCGGGATCGTAAAATTCCAAATCGGGGATGCGGCCCACATACTGTTGGTGGTCAGGGGTATTGAACAAATGGGGAAAGAAGCCCTTCTTTAATTCGGTCAAATTGAAGGTACTGGGAAAAGAGGCGAGTGGCATGGGCAAGAAACACAACGAGTTAATGAATTTGATAGGTCCACTCCTGAAAGACAGGACTTTGGCTCCCACCGTCAGTTGATCCACGACCTCGCGTTGTTGCTGGTAGAGTTCATGGAGAATAAACATGCCATCAAACCCTTTCAAATTGTGAAACACCACGAGTATCGTTCGCTCCTCCTCACGGTCTGGAACGTCCGTGAGATCATCCAAATCGCGCAAAAATTGTAGGGCACAGTCCTCCCCATCCAATACATGAATGGTTGTTTCTGCACTCGATGAATAACATAACAAATTGGCCACAAACACGCCTTCTGCATTCTGCATGGCTTCAAAATCCGCGTAAACAAACAGGGGAGGGGGTGGCGCCACCATGCTACCTCCCCCCTCCTCTGTTGGTTCAGTCTCCTCGTGTTCCACCACGGGCTGAATGTAACACTTGTGGTCCTGGATGGGTACCCATTCCTGACACGCGGGACATTTGGCGTACCCGCACTGGTGACGTTTGTTGGGGACGACCGTGTATTGGGCTTGACACTTGAGACAAGTTTTGATGGATTGACATTGTTTGCTGACTTCATGATAACGTTTGCATTGATTGCCGTGAAACTTGCGGTGACACAGAGTGCAATACTCAGTGGGGCGGGTGCCCCGCACATAATCCGGACAATCAAAGCGCCCACACGCGGAGCAGCGTCTCCCTTAACAAGTGTGATTGGTTCGGTCGTTGGTGTTGAACCCTCGTTCACAGTCCACACAATAATACGAACGATTGACAAACGCAGGAAAGGATGTGCAGCCATCAAAATGATCATTGGATTTGAGTAAACGAATCTGATGAGGGGCGGTGGGACCTTTGAAGATCAAAAAGAACGGTTTCATCCGGGTCATCACCAAGAGTTGATATTGAGACCCCAACGCTTGTTGAAATTGGCGAAGCTCGGGTAAACCACAGGGACCCTCAACGATTCCCGCTTGCTGATGTAAGGCCTGGGCTTGACGTTGCTGCACAGGAAGCCCACGTTTGAGATTGTCCCAGTCGCGAAACCCGTCCACGCCTTGATCTTTATGGCAATGGACTCGCATGGTGACAATGGCGCGGGCACAACATAAAGCATCTCTGTTTTTGATGGGGATGATGCATTTCTTTTTCTTATTGACTCGATCCAAACATAAACGTCCCGCATTGCGTTGTTTATGTCGACCAGACCCTGGGCCAGGCATGGAGACAAACACCACATCCACTTGGAACCCGCGATCGGGGTTGAAGGCTTCATTGCTGTTTAATTTCCCAGCCAAGGTGGCCAACATCTCATCCAAACGAGCGGTGCGTTGTAGAAATTCCCCCACGGTAAAATTGGCTGTTTGATAAGCGTGAGTGAACCCGTGAGCTGTAATGGCAAAGTTCACGAAATGATGGGCGGGTCGCTGCTCGCGGCCGAGTTCCGTTTCAATGGCTTGGTGTAATGCTTCCGTTAACGCCATGCCAATATTATCCCCAGGCACAGGATCCCTCAATTGACGCAATTGCGCGTTGAATTGCGCCCGCTCCACCACGTCACGCCAGCGGCGTCGTCGACCAATAGGTCGTCGACCAATAGGTTGGTGAATTGGAAGAGAGGGCCGCGGGCGGCGGCAGCCCCTCCCAGCTGTTCCCACCGGTCATAAGCGCGGTTTAACAGAGCATCCTCCTCATCCTCGTCACTGACAGGATACCAGGAGTCTTCCGCCATGACGGAGGAATACAATTTGAATTTCCCGCTCCAGACGCTGGCTTTTATAGACCCAAAAAACACGTGATCAGACGAACGGGGATTGGTGGATAAGACTCAGGTGAGAGTCAGGTGAGAGTCAGGTGAGGGGTTGATTTGACAAGAAGAGGATTGAGGGGGGTGCCCCCCATGGGTACAGACTTCTCAAGTCTCCTCTGAGCCTGGACCGAGATCAGTGATTGGCGGAGGAAACCCTAGATATAATCCAGCGTCCAGACCAGACGTCAGTGTGGTTCGAGAATGCCTGATAGAGATCCCGAGAAGGCGAAACAGGCCAAGCGCAAGTGGTACCTCAAAAACAAGGAAAGGATTGCGAAACAGAAACGTGATCAGCGGGCGGCTCAGAAGAAGCTCAAACCACCCAAACCACCCAAACCGCCCCCGACACCAGAGGAGATTGCGAGAGCCCGAGAGTTGAATCGGCAGGCCTGTAACCGTTACCGAGCTAGCCATTTGGCGCGAGTACGGGCTCTGAACCGCAAGTATTACCATCAACACCGCGAGCGGATTGTCCAACAGCAACGGATCCGTCGTGCCCGGAACAGACAGACTCCTTCCAGTCCGTTCCGAAAGTTGCGTGCGTTGGCGGACGTGTGTGCTGCCCGATTGTTGGAGTTGGAGCATGGATATGCCAGGATCGCGCCAGCCCCCCAAGAAAAAGCGGGACCCTGAAAAAAACAAACACAATCAAAAACTGTATCGGCAGCGCCAGTACGCGGCCCTGAATGGGATCGAGGATGTGAAGGCCGTGCACCGTCGACGCTACCACGAGCGCATGGCCCGTATGAGAGCCAATGGGGAGTACGAGGCCTTCAAGGCCAAAAAGACCCAAGAGGGCATGCGGCACTACCATGCCATGACCGAGGAACAGCGGAACGAGGTTAAACGCAAAAACGCCCAGTGTCAAAAAAACTGGATGCAAAAAATGAAAGACAAGGGGACGTACGAGGCCTACAAGCAGCGATTGAATGCGCGGCGGCGGGAGATTGCGACCGAGAAAAAACGAGTGTTGGGTGTGGAGGGGTGGCAAGCCCTGCAGAAACAGAGATACGAGCAGCGAGTGGAATCGATTCGACGTCGAGAATGGCGATGGTTGGACGAGGCATTAGAGCGTCCCTTTCCCTTACCGTGGTTGCCCTTGGACTGGGCCGAGTCCGAGCCTGAAGAGGACACCGTGCAAACCCTTCGCGCTGAAGCATTACAGCAAATGGACATGTACTTGTAAGAACAAAATGAGTTTATTAAAACATGTGTGATTCAACAAGGTTGTCTTTTTTATGATGAAGGGGTTTACATGCCCAATCGGAGTTTGGCTTTCATAATGCGTCTAACAATGCGCTCTGTCAGGTTTTTGCTGCCAGGGAGTTGATCAATCTTGGCAATCATCTTGCGATCCGCTGCCCATTTGTCTTTCAAATTCTTGGCTTTATCATAGTCAATGTCATGCGCTTTAGCAATCCTGTCCAACCGGTTGATGCCGGGATCCCCACGGGCCAATCGTTTTTTCAAATGGGTGCCAGGTCCCATGTACTGATAGCCGGGCCAATGAAATTCAATGCCTGTCTTGTTGAGGAGGTTTTGCACATCAAATAACTTGCCTCCACGTTGCGAGCGTCGACGTCGCCTCGGTCGGGAACGGGGCACCGCACGGCGTTTAGGAGTCCGTCCCATGTTACGGGGTTTTCCACGATTTCCACTCCAAGGCTTTCTTGGCCCAACCTGCGGCTTTCTTTTTGGCAACACCAGTGGCTTTTTTGCGAATCCCGCGCTTGAATGATTGCTTGATAGAGTCCACACGTTCTTTGGGGGTTTCCCAAGGCGCTGTTCCAGGCTCCTCGGAAAAGGGCAACTCGTGCGCCAATTCTTCACTGCTCAACGGGGTCGTGAACTTGAGTTTCTTTTTGGCACTGGGGGTGATGTTCGGTTTGGGCGGGACAGGTGGTTTTCTGGGTCCACGAGTGGGGGTGCCTTGTTTTATACCCTGGGTCGCCTTGACCAATTGCGTGAACCACGCTTGCATGGGGCCCGCCTCAAAATCATCGTCGCCCGGGGTCGTGGCCCCTGCTGCACTCACACCCCCAGTCGGGGCTCCAAACGGTTGGCGCACTTGTTTGGTCCAATGGCGTAATTGACGGCTCACGGCTTTGAGTTGAGGCCGTTTCCAAGCATCGGGGGCATCGCTGGTCAGGAGCACATGTTGCTTGGCTGCTAAATCAGCCGCTTTGGTCAAGCGGGTATCTTCCACCAATTCTTGTTTGTACTGGTCTCGTAATTGTAAAAAAGCCGGGGCGTTGTCCACCGTGGTGCTCACCATCTCGGGTTCCATGGTGCAACTGAGGGGTCTTGTCTAGCGCATGCAACGTTTATAACATCGGTAGAGTTCAGGCCAGAGGGCGCCCCCTTTTTGAGCCATCATGATGGCGCGTCGTCGTTAGACGGAATGGGCGGGTTTGGCCATGGCGCGTAAACTCTGGGCGTGGGGTTTGAGCAACGTGATGGTGTGTCGGGAACGGGGCACCGTGCCACGGAGGGTGTTCATCACCAATTCACTGACAGCATTGATCTGATCCGCATTGGCCATCCGCAACAATTCTTGTCGTTTGTGTTGATTGGCTTCTTGTAAGACACTTTTCAAGAACGGGGCTTGACGTTCCATGCGCCACCCCATGATGAATCTTGAGTTCAGGCAACGACCAAGGTCTATTTATGGTAAAAATGGCGCCACACCTACCACACAATTCGCCATGATAATGCGTTTGCATGTGATTTCGACACCGTGAACACAAGGCCGCTTCATACTGGTCGTCCCAATCCAAAGCAAACGTGACGGCTTTTCGTTTGGGTCGTTTGTTAGTCCGGGCGTCGAATACGGACTCTTGGTTTGTATTTCCTGAGCCACAAAGGCGAGAGAGCCATTGCCAAAAGCGGTAGCCTAGCGCCGCGTTGTAATCCACGTCGCCGGCGTCGTATTCGAGGGACATAACGATGTCGGCGACCGTTGGGTCCACGGACCATCGTTCAACTAACCCCTGTTCAGGCCCACGAAGGTCTTTTTATACGTTTTTACATGATCGAACAATTAAAGGATTCCCCCGCATAGCGTTTCCGTTTGCCTGAGGCCACTTCTCGTCGACGTTTTTCGCCAATTTTGATGGCACGCTTGGTTTGATGCTCCCCTATGGCTTTGGTACCAGCATAACCGGCTTTGAGAATGCCTACAGGCAGGCCGACCCCGACACCCCCCACTTGACTGTAGGTCACACGCCGTCGTCGTTTGGCGGGTCGTCGAGTCGTGGAGCGTTTGCGTTTGCGTTTGGGTCCCATGACGACTCTTTTTGAGAGCTGAACACCGCGACCCCTCTTTTTTATACATGTCACATCAAACTGCACCCGCCAACTTTTTTGGCATACCCCTTCTTGACCAACCACTTGTTGTACGAGTCCTTGCTGCCACTAGCGCGATACTGGCGTTTATAATTGGCCACCCGTTGTTTGTCGGCCTTTACGTCAGCTTTGGAAGGAATCTTCCACATATCCTTGTCTGTCAACAGCTTAAAGCCTTTCTTGAAATCCACGATGAACGGCGCCTTCCCACCCTTGATCCTACGTCGACGTGGTGGTCGTCGAGTCAAGTCAAGTCAAGTCAAGTCAATCTTTATTTAAACACGGTAAAATCCATCAGGAATTTAAAAAAATTAAAAATAACCTAACTATCCTAAACAAAATTCAAAACCTGACTACAACTAATCTAACTAAAACCTGTTTTTCATGAATGCCGTGTATAACATTAAAAGTGAACATTAACTAATCTTTTAAATTGACTAAGAGATTCGGCTTCTCTCACATGACAGGGTAGGCTGTTCCAGAGAACTGCTCCGCTATAAGTAAAGCTGTTTTTCATGAAATTAGTTCGCGGAAATGGGACAAATAGTTTGTTAACAGAGTCCCTCAGGGAGTAACGCGTTTCATTTCGTTTAACAAACTTAGATGATAAATATTCAGGAACAAGGCCATTTAAAGACTTGTATACCATTATGGATTTCTGTATTTGAAATTGAGTGCTCAAGTCTTTCCAATCGAGTTGTCTAATCAAACGGTTAGCATCAGCATCATAGCTAGAGAAGGTTAAAACGCGAGCGGCACGGTTCTGAAGCTTCTGTAGCCTGTCAAATAATGTTTTACCACAATTACCCCAGACAAGATTGCAATAATCGAAATGAGATTGAATTAGTGAGTTGTATATATAGTGAAGGGTAGGTGGAGGGACAAAAGGTCTAATTCTTTTTATTGCTCCAATTCCGGAAGCGACCTTTTTAGATAATTTATCAATGTGTGTTTGCCACCGTAGATTTTCATCAATAAATATTCCAAGCGATTTGACAGAGGAAACGTGTTCAATCGGAACATTATTAATCGAGAGCTCAAGTGGGTTCGACAAAGTACTCAATTTTTGTCTGGAGCCAATTAGCATGAATTCAGTTTTAGAAGTGTTCAAAGTAAGTTTATTGGAAATAAGCCATTTGTTTAGGTTATCTAAATCGTGACTCAGAGTTAACTGTATTGAATTCACATCAACGCCAGCATAAGTAATGTGGGTGTCATCGGCATACATTCTAGGCTGGCACGAAGTAAAACAGTTTGGCAAGTCATTAATATAAATAAGAAATAAAAGGGGGCCAAGGATTGTTCCTTGCGGTACCCCACATTTAAGAGAGCAGATTCTAGAAAGAGAACCGTTAACAAGACATCGTTGTGTACGATTAGTTAAATACGACCTAAACCAATCAAGAGCTGTACCTTGTATTCCGTAAAGGTTCATTTTAGCTAGAAGGATATCGTGGTCAACGAAAACCACAGCATTAACATTGCCACGATCAATATTAAAGGCCCAATTATCCGTAGCTTCCAGAAGGGCAGTTGCAGTTGAGTGTAACGAGCGAAAACCCGATTGATGATTAGAAATGATATCTTCATTGGTCAAAAAGTTATACAACTGATCATAAACAATCCTTTCAAACACTTTAGCTATAACGGAAATGACTGAAATAGGTCGATAATTATTCAGATCAGATGGCTCACCTTCCTTGAACAACGGAGTAACTCTAGCACATTTCCAATCATCAGGAAATATACCAGAGACTAAAGATTTATTAAAGAGATCACATAGTGAAACTGAAATAAGATCAGCACATTCACGTACAATTTTAGCAGAAATATTATCAAGACCAGTTGCTTTAGATCTACATAATTTGTTTAGATGTGAGAAAACAATGCTGCAGTTAGTCGAGGAGAAGCTGAAATTGTTGTTATTTACCTTTATATTATTGATATAACTTGAATTATTTTCAGCAGTTAGAGGTATTTCATTAGCAAGTCTGGGCCCAATTGTTGAAAAATGGTCATTAAAAGCATCAGAAAGCTCACTAGAATTAGAGATAATGGTATCATTCAATTTCAGTTCTTTCACCGTTGTATTATTCACACGACGGGATGTAAGCTCATTAAAGGTTTGCCACGTTTTCGAGGATTACCCTTAGATTGAATAAATGCATTAGAATAATAAGATGCTTTAGAAATTTTGATGTCATTGTTTATTATATTTCGCAACTTTTTGTACCTTTTTCCAATCGTGTGGATCATTCGATGTAATTGCTTTTCTTTTGGCAGCATCACGATCACGCATGCCTTTCTTTAATTCTGAATTGATCCAGGGTGCTTTATTTGTTCTAGTACGTCTAGTTCGGAGTGGCGCATGAATATTAACAATATCCAAAAACTTCGTTTTCCAGTCAGTCCACAAAACATTTGGATCTTCAGAAACATTACAGGACCAGTCTTGCTGAGCGATATCGTTACGAAAACTCTCTCTATTAAAATTTTGGAAATTTCTATAAGAAATGGTTGAGTGCCCTTTTGAAGGAAAAGTGAGAGATAATTTCCTATAAACGTAAATAAGGCTATGATCGCTGATACCAATATGAGAGACTCCGGAACAGACTACCCTGTCAGTATAGTTTGTATAAATTAAATCAATTAATGTTGAAGAGGATTCCGTTATGCGAGTAGGTTGAGTTATAAGCTGTTGAAGCCCAAATAAATCAGAAATTTCACATAAGCGTCGAGTATTTAAATCATATTGTGCAGAGGCCAGGTTACAGTTTAAATCACCTAGCAGATAATATTCTAGGCCGAGGGAATCTAATTTCTCAAGTCGTGGTGCGTTTGCGTTTGGCGCCTCGACATTTGCCACACATCGCGTTTTGACATGTGCCACACATGAGTACTGGGACGGTGGAAGGGAGACCACTGTTTTTATATCCTTTTTTACCGTCGGCCCCGTCCACGTGCTCGGCCACGGCCCCGGCCCCGTCCTCGGCGTGGTGGTCTGGGTGGACTTGGACTGGACGTTCGGGTGGACGTTCGACGTACCGAAGGTCGCCCTCCTCCATCTTCGTAGACCGTGGTGACTGTATTGGTGTGCGTGATGTTGCGGATACGTCTGCCTCGAGCCCGTTGTTGAGCATCTTCATTGAGCAAATCCAACCGTCGCCTTAATCCTCGCCGTCGATCGTCGTCATCATCGTCGTCCTCGTCATCGGACGGAGGGGACGAATCGGGGGACGGTGGGGAGGGCACGCGGGGACGTCGTCGCGGTTGTTTGGCAGCAATGGTGGGGCGTCCAGTGGGGGTCGTCACCGTGGAGGTGGTGGTCCTGGTTCCTGCCCCAGCGCTGCGGCGAGAGGTGGAGGGGCGTGAGGGAGCGGTGGTGGTCGTGGCGGTGGTGGCAGGGCGTGTTCGGGTGGAGGTGACGGGTCGCGGTCGACTGGTGGTGGTGGTGGTCGTGGGGCGTGTTCGGGTCGATGTGGTGGTCGTGGTGATGGAGGGTGGTGGCGGTGCCGTGGTGGTGGTGGCGGTGGTGGTGGCGGGGGCAGTGCCGGTGCCAGCCACGGGCGGTAGCGTGAACGCATTCAAGGCATCATTCACATTGACCGGGTAGGTCAAATTGAAATCCTCAATCTCTTGATCCAATTGGGCACGATCCACGGGTCGAGTCAATTCAGTCACCATGTCCGTCATACTGCTGAGATCCTGGGGTGGAGGGGGCGCCGTGGGGGAGCCCACGCCGGCGGGCGAGAAGGTTGGCGTGTCCATGCGGGCTGCTAAATCAGTATGTTGTCCGCCTTCTCTTTGCCGGCGGACCCTGGCGAGTTCTCGTTGCAGTTCGTTGTCGAACGGCAGGGACATCCGCACGCAAGGTGTGGACTTGCGCCTTGCCTTCTCGGGGCGTTAAATGACTCCACAGGCGGTAGCGATCATCCGACGCAGGATGCACATCCAACATCAAATAGCCAAAGGGGCGGGACGTGATGCGTTTAAATAGGCGCAAGACTTGACGCCACCGATCCGGAAAGGCTTGCAATAAAATGGTTCGTATCCCTGTTTGATCCCGGGGGTTTTTGAACGCCACAATGTAATGTGCGTTGCGATTGATGGTCTTGGAAAATTTGCCAGGCGGGAATAAATCTTGCGTCAAATACAGCACCGTGATGTTGCGATGATGCGAATCTTTGGTGAACAAATCCAACACGCGCTTGTCTTGTCCTCCTTCTTCCATCAGGTCGTCCAAGACCAGTACCCCTCCGCGCGTCCGACCAAACCATTGCGTCAAATGACGGGGGTCCGGTAACCCGCGATGAAATTGAATCCCATCCTTTTTTTGCATGCGATCGAACCGGGGTTGCCAACGATCATAGGCATACACAATCTTGCGGGGTTTGACTTGAAAGACGTTGAGGTACCGTAACCATTGTTCCACCAATTCACTCTTGCCACTGCCCGATGGACCCGCGATGATCACACTACTGGGTTGACGGATCATGATTCCCACGGTCGAGGGTGACGTCGATAATGACCTGTGGCCCCTTTGGCACCCATGCGTTTATACCGTTTGTCGCGTCCCAATTTGTCGCCAATTTTATACGCTTTGGCCAACACGCTCATGATCCCGCGCCCGTTTTGGCGAAAGCAGGGTCGTCGGGTGGAGGTGCGCCGTCGTCGTCGTTGTCTGCGGCCGGGCATGCCGTCCAATATTCGCGGTATAATCGTGGCGATTCAAACTGAATCAGACGTTCCATGGTCTCTCTTAAATACGTTTCGCTCATACTGTCCATGTAATGTTTGAGGGAGACCCAGTCTTGGTCTTGCGCCAATTGTCGAGCCACTAACCAATGATACCCATCCCACGCGTCAATACCTCGCACCGTGTTGACCCGCTCGATCGGGTGTTCCCACCAATACAAGGTTTCTTCTAAGAGGAACGCATCCACGACGCGCTGCACATCGCTTCGAGTAATCATGATGACACCAAATGACGTCTTTTGCACAGAACGTGTCGTTTTTATTCACACTTATTACAAAGGATAAAGGCCTGTCGGCTCACATTCTTTTGCCCGTCAGGTCGGGCATCGACTTCATCTTGTAATTCCTGTTTAATCACTCGTTTCAACTGCTCGGCCACTTTATGATCATTCAACACTAAATTGTCGCAACTCCATTGACTCAAAAATTCTTGATACGACCGTCCTTGCGCACGGGCTTTCAAGAAAAATAAAGCATAATGGCCACAGGTTTGACTATCCAGGGCTTGCAGGGTCTGGTCACTGCGAGTCAGGTACTTCCATTGACTCCACCATTGGTGCAACTCCGGGTTGGTGTACACGTGCAGGGGTAGACCATAACTGTCAAAGACCTCGCACTGGTTCTTTCAGGTCCACAGTCCCAACCAATGCTGGCCCGGTTCTCCCGCCGGATCGTTGTTGACAATGTACGCTTGACGGACATCCTTGGCGGGGGATCGGGGTAGCTGGTCGGCTGGGTGCACTCCGTGAAACACGCGTCGTAAGGTGGGATCCTCCAGGGCCAGGGTCTGCAACACAGTATCACTGAGCGCCACAAACTCCATGACCGGTGTCTTCTGACTTCTGAGGCTACATCAGCCGTTGATGTTGTACTTTATACCTCCCAGATGATTGATCTCATACATGTTTTCATACTCGCTCCACACCAACACAGTGATGTTGTGACCGACCGCGGCTGCAAAATCAATGATCAGTCGCACATTGCCCGATTGACGGGGGTTGCGATACTGGGGGTCATCTGCTTTTCCACTGGGCACATTGTTGAACATGAACAACGTGCAGTTGTTGCCTTGTCCCCAATCACTAGGCAGCAGCATAGGCATCTTGTCTTCATTGTAGGCACCCATGGCTTGTAGAAATCGATCGTAGCCCAGCAGATCTTCATAGGCTTGGTCTCCAGTCAATTGCAGGGTTCTGTAAGGGTATTCTTCTCCATTCAAGGTCTGTCGTATTTGGGTGACCCCAAACTTTTCAAAGGCAAAGGGGTATTTTTGCAGGTCTCCATTGAAGGCATTGGAATGCAATAACCCGACAATCACTCGGTCAGGAAATCGACCCACAAACACATTGTCTTGTTCCCACTGGGTGGTGCGTCCATCGAAGGAAAATGTGCGAATTTCGCTCCGCACGACGGGGTAGCGGGCAATCTGTTTGCCCAGCTGTCTTTCTTTCTGCAGTTTGACATAGACGCTGGCATTCAGGGTCACTTTTCTCATCAATAAGGTGACTTTGATGTCTTCACTGTGGATGGCTGGAAATTTCTTGGCGTTCAAGGTTCCTTTGTTGGGGGTACCCATCAGGTAGACAGTGTTGGGGTTGAGGAAGAGTTCAAAGTCCATCTGGATATTGGGGACCAACAATTTGCCTGTCTTGAGGGGTGGCAAATGGGGACGAATGATGAAGGTGTGCCAATGTTCGCTCAGCAACCGGCTGGTCAGGGCTCGCAATTCTGTATTGCCACTCCAATTAGCGCCAGTGGGCACATCCGAATTGGCTCCTGTAGCTCCCATTTCTTCAATCACATTCAGCTGATTGACCCATCCTTGTGAGGCTAGCTTGGTGGCTCCTTCGTCTCGGTTGTAATTCAGCAGGGTTTCTAGGTAGGCTCTGTAATGGTAGGTGTTGCTCTGTTCTGTCATGAGGACCCCATTCATGCTCAGGGTGATATCTCGAAAGATGGTGTGACCGAAATTGTTGACGCAGTAGGTATTTCTGGAATTGTTGGCATCAGAGTTGTTGAGATCAGCCTTCAAGCCAAGATACCCAGCTGCTGGATCGGTCAGGCGCACTTTGACTTTGAATCGGAGGGAATTGGGATCGTAATAATCGTCGGAGCCTGGAATGGAGAAGGTGATGGGCTGGATGCCCGTCAAGGCGGGTTGAAACTCCACCTCCCGAGAGGCTTCGTACCGATAATCCACATCGGGCACGTCAAATAGTTGGAGTGACATGATGCGAACTGTCCACGTTGTTCAACGGCGTCCTCTTTTTATACCTTTTCGCATTCTGTACCAATCATGGATGGGATGCGCTGAGGGAAAGGGGCGGTGAGGAAAATCGATTTGGATGCGTTTTTTCAACTTGCTAAAGACGTTGCCCCCTTTTTGCTTCCTGGCTTTGGCTTGATTGGCCCACAACACCTTCCTGAGATCCCCCTGGCCAAAAATCGTGCCCCCTTTCATACGTTGCTTCAGCCAGCGTGTCCATTTAGCTTTTTCTTGGTCAGCCGCGAGGACCTTCATGGGATTCCTGCTCATGCGCATGCGAGTGGACGTGCCAAAAATCGTCCCCCCTTTCATCTTGCGACGTTGGTGTTGAACCAACTGCCAGGGGTCCAACAGACGGGAGGATGTGTGCATCAAGGGATAGCGCGCCATGGTCGACTTGCCAAAGATCGTGCCCCCCACTTGATACGGCGAAATGAACCGTCCACGGGCGCGTTGCCGTCAAATACGATTTTGCGTTTTGAGAAAGCCTCCTACACGTACCATTTTTACGGTCCAAAGATATCCCGTACGCGTTGCGCGACTCTTTTATAGGTATTTTGGGCAGTCCGTTTGACCTTGTGTTTGCCAGCCGTCCAAGCCATGGCAGGGGCTTTGCGTTTCAATCCGCGGCTGAGTTGGGCACTTCGATCGGCCCACGTGTCCGCGGCACTCTTTCCTCATTGAATATCTTGCAGTCCCGCTTGAACTTGCTGCACGACCAGAGGGCCCGCTAGTTTGATCAACTCTTCGGCCAAGCCTTTACCCTCTTGCTTGGTGAGCACGGGCGTGTGGTACCGCGTTAAACTGCCTCCGCGCATGATCGGTTCACGTCGTGGTGCTTTTTGGACCCTCGAAAGACGTGGGGTGGCTTTTTATAGCTGTTTGAGACCAATGGTCACCAGGGTTTTGCCCGGGGGTAAGATGGCCAGGGGTCCACTAGTACTCGCAATCTCCACTTCCAAGATATCCAATTGTTGGCCTCGTACTTTGATCCATTGATGGTGCAGGGGTTCCGCCGTACTTTCCCCATCGCCGGTTCTCAACAATTGCACTTCCCGTAACAGGGGATACTTGCCACTCCCCACCACGGTGGATTCGACGAGATCCGAATAGACCATGACAGTACGTTTGCGAGTCCCCACTATCTTTTCAAACGAGGCATCCAGGTTGTTCAACTGCCATTCCACGATCAAGGACAATTGCAAAAACTTCACACCATCCTGGGTCACCACTTGCATGGGATCATGTTCAATATTGGCTACAATATTGCCAAACAGTAAGACAGGACTGACGCCCATGTACTGCTGGCCCTCCCAGTTGTATGCCCTGCGAAACTGATTGCCAGCGGGTTGGGTGGTCGAATCGTACGTCTTGGTGGGCAGCGTGTATTGCATATTGGGTCCCAATGGATACCAGGTCCTGTTTTGACTGGTTTTTTTGAGCACCAACCCAAACTTGAGCGCAATGTCCAGGTTGATGAAAAGGTCACTGATAGCGCTCTTGTCCTCTTTAATCAAATCCAATTGGGGAATGGCATGAATCACCAAGGCATCCTCTTTCCATGACAGTCGGGGCATAGCGTTTTGTTTGGCGCTGACAATAGGACTTTCGTCGGGCTCCTTGACTAAACGCTGCATTTGTTCATTCATCACATTGTGCATGATTTTATTGTGCACTTCTTGCATTACTCGTTTCCAAAACTGACTCCCCGTCGCCACGATTTGATTCGCATTCATGATCTCTTCCAATTCCAATGCGCAGTCCACGGTTTTGAGTTCCATCCGTCGATAGGTGCCCAACTGAAACTTGCGGACCACATACGACATTTTGAATTTCATCACTTTGGTATGAGGATCCGCGGCGATGATGGCATTGCTCTGGCCTTGATCCGGGACGGTCAGGGACATCAACGAGGCATGCCATCCTGCGCCCGGTAAGCAAGGCGTTCGGGCAGACGGACCTTGAAACTGTTGTTGGCATTGTTGGGAAACTCGTCGGTCGGATCACTGATGAGCGTCAGGCGTTTAATACCACTCATGATGAACAAGAGGCGGTCCCAGTGGGTGCAGGGTCCTTTTATAGCCACTGGTCCACTTTCTGTTTACTGCGAGGGACACGTCCCACCAACGAATTGAAGGTCGATTGTTTGGGATGAAAACACACTTGCTGGGCAATGTTGGGAAAGGCCCGGGCCAGTTCCATCAGGGTCATGCAGGTCTTTTGTTTGGGGGGTTTCTTCTTGCGCATGGGTGGATGACGCCCGGCGCGTCGGCGTTGTTTTTTCTTGGGTGGGGACCGTAGGGCACCCCGTTTCTTGGCATACTCTTCGGCTCGATGGTAGGCATTGGCGTAGGCCCATTGCTGCTTGGTGGGGCTGGCCAACTTTTCCCACCACGGTTGGGTTTGCCGTTGTTCGGCGGCTTTTTTCTGGATGAAGTTCATAATGTCTGCGTCACTGGTGGGAGGTGGCGTGT